TGGGAATTTGGAGTGAAGGGCACTGGTCTGGCAGTCAGGGATCATTGCTTCTGATCTCTCTGGCCTCAGTTTCCTTATTTGTAAATTAAGGGAGGGTTAAATGATCCCCAAGGTCTCTTGAGGGATTTGATTTTGCACGCCTGTAAGATGGGGCTCTGTACCAAGCTTGGCTCAAGCAGCCTCGTGTACTGTGGAGGGCTGAAGGATGCGACACCTCCTATGAGGGACACTGCAAGGGCCCATCCCTCTATATTGCACCTTTCCCTTGAAAGGTATTTTTCTTGCAGAATCTTTTAGAAAGAAATAATATTGTTGTATCAGGTCACATCCAAGTCCTCATCAGCCATCACCTTGGCCCTCAGTTAATACTTTCAGCAAGAATCAACTAGAAGTAAACTCAGCAGGTATTTACTCAACCCCTGTTTTGTGCCAGGCACTCCACTAAGCAGAAAGGATACAAGGATGAGTAGTGAAGAGCTCTAAGTTTACCAAAAGACACAAATAGGTCAGCAGATAACTATAATTTACGTATTAATATGATAACAACATCCAAAACATATTGAGCCTTTACTCCACACCAGGGTGCTATACTAAATGCTTTACATGAATCTTTTTTTTTTTTTTCCTTTTTGTCTTTTTTACTGACCGGTAACGGGATCGCAACCCTCGGTGTCGTGCCCATACCGCGGACCGGCAACGGGATCGCAACCCTCGGTGTTGCGCCCGCACCGCGCTCAGCCAGTGAGCGGGAACCGGTCTCCATATGGGATCCGAACCCTCGGCTGGAGCGCCACCGCACTCCCAAGCGGCGCACTCTCCAGTGCGCCACCGGGCTGGCCCTACATGAATCTTTTTAAAGCCGAATATATTAGGCAGGTGCTGTCATTATGTTCATTTTTAGATAAGAAGACTGAAATTAAGAGATTTTAAGCAGCTTGTTGAAAGTTACTAGGCAAGCAAGTTGTGAAGCCAGGATTTAACTTCAGGACTGTCAGACTTGAAAGCCTGTGTGTTTAACCATTGTACCATCCAGCCTGCCTTGCATTGGCTGAGAGGCAGTGATCCAATCCCAGAGCAGAGCTTAAGCTCATCCCTAAAGAAGTCTCTGATTGAGGCCACAGAGAAAGCTCTTCTTCCAAAGGAGGACTCATTTTCCTGTGGGATGAGGATGTTTGCAGGCACATTGCCATTATCCGCCAGCTTCTCCCTTGCTCTGAGCTCAGCTGACACTTAGTAGCACTGAATGGGCCGAATGGTCATGGAAGAGTCTTAGATTTTAAAAAGGAAATATGAGGGATCTCCAAAAAGTTTATGGAAAGATTCATCTTATCTTTCCACTTATTCTATTTTTCTACTAACTTTTTGAAGTACCCTTATATCAGTGGACATGGTACAGGTTTCCTAGATAGCACAGATTTCCAAAAAAAACGAAGTATGGAAAAGATCATATAATTTATACCATAAACCATATGCAAAAGCTTGGCTATGTTTTTCTAAAAATAAACAGTTCACCCACTAAAATATGCACGAAATATACATTTTCAACACTTGTCTTCAAAATCAAGATTAATGGGTCTTATTTAATTTTTTGAGGTAGATAACATATTCCCATGGTTCAAAAGGCAAAAAGTGTAAATAGTGGTGCACTGATAGGTCTCGTTCCCATTGCCCTGTTCCCACCTCACCACACAAGGGTAACCACCATTCTTATGTCTATGTGTCTTTTCAGAATATATTTATGCATGTACAAGTAAATTCACACACAGATGATCCCTCTCTCTGGAACAGTCTGGGAAATTACATTTATCATAGGTCCAAAATCCTTTCCACAAAGAAACAGCAACAAAAATAGTAGCTATCATTTATCAGGTGCCAGGCATGTGCTAGGTGCTTATTTAATCATCAGAAGTCAGAGAAGTTAAACGATATATTTGAAATCACTCATACAGTAAGTGGCCTAGTCAGGTTTTGAACCTCAGGCTTTCTGACTCCACATACCCTTTCCACTACAGCATTCTGCTTGCATCCTCACTTCCAGCTCTCCAGGCAATAGAGGCCTGGCCTAGGATGGTGGTGGTAATGGAAAAGAAGAGGCAGCTGGGAGACATATGCCAATATCCTAGCTCTTCTTTTAGATGATGAACCACAGGCCCAGGTCTGGGAGGAGGAGGAATTGCAGTCTGTATCCATAGAGAGGAAGAAACCTCAGGGTGGTCGATCCTTGCTCATTGTCTAGTAATCATGTACTACTGGGCAGTGAGCTCTTCTGCCATGCTTTGGAGCCAAGATGCACAGCGTTGAGCTGGGTCCTGCTGCCAGATGCCTGCCTGCCTGCCTCTTCTGCTGACCCGGGCCTGATCTTGGTTTTGCTTGTTTACATACTATGGCAACGTAAGACAAGCTTAGAAGACAAAAATAACCTTGGAATTATCTTGTGAATTCATGAAAATTACCACATAATTACATGCTTGGTAACCACAATGGAATTTCAGAGTATTTACAGTTCACTTCCATGTGCAAAAGCTCAGGCTCTGGGCCTTCCTTGTGAAGGCAGGAGCATGGCACAGCCCAGCATTGCATGGTGAGCAGGTCTGGTGGCTGTGCGCTGCCAGTCTGACTAACCAGCTGAGCCAGAACTTAGCCAGTTCTTGTTACCCTACCAGTTACTCCTGCTTAGGTCACCAGGGCCACACTGTCCTTCAGAAGGCAAGGCCTGGAGTAACTGCCCTGAGTCGTCATTCTCTAGGCATGGTGTAACTATCCTCTGTGCTTTGCAAATCACCTGCTTCTGCCCCAAAACACATTGACTGGCAGTCCCTTGAATTACATCCTTTGAAGACTCTCTTAAATCAAAGGGAAATGCTAGCCACCTAACCTATTTCATTTACTCATGCTTTCTTTCATTCAATAAACACTGCCTGTTCTGTGCTAGCATCGTGCCAGGCCTGGAGATTCAGAAACCAAACAGTGCCTGCCCTCAGAAAACTCCCATCATGTACAGAACACAGCCAGGAGCACAATGCCAGATAGGTCAGGGTGATAAAGTACAGTTGTGAGGCATGTGAGGGTCAAATAGATTTTCTTCTGTTAAAAAAAAAAAATCCAATGGGTACAAATGGGATGATGCTAACGGAGGTGCACAACTCAAGGTGCATTAGCCTGTGGGGCCTACCAGATTTTAGACATGGACTTGGCTTACATGTGGGAAGAGCAGCCTTAGTTACCGCTACAGATAATGTGAGCCTCAGATGCAGCGCTTGATATAAATGTTGAAGGAAAACACACTACGCATAGGGGAAGTGTATCACAAAAAGTGACCATGAATTCTGACTGTGTGTGTGTGTGTGTGTGTGTGTGATATGCAGGAGAGGAAAGGACGCTCATTCTCTTTGGGGCACTCAGCCCATTTTCTCTGCATTATCTCAGAGACAGAGATAGAGCCTGAGGTCTGAGTATATTGAGTGTCAGGTAGCTGTGATCCCTTAAGCCAGCTTTGGGACAGCAGCACCTCCTTCTCCTACTCCTGTTCCAAGCCACTGCACAAGTCCAGACACCTAGTTGCCCAGCACCTGAGGGTCCCCAAAGTTCAAGAGCTGAGCCAGGCACTTTTCCCTTCTATGCTCTAAGATTGACTATGGTCCTATATGCAGTTCTTCAAAATTTCTAGGTATCCAAAGAGAATCATGGCTGATTGTCAGAGGCAAATTTCATATCTCACAAAGGGCATGCAACAAAACTACCAGGATCCATTACTTCATTTTGTACATATTAAATTTTAAATGTCTTTAGGAAATATACAACCAAAATACTTTGGGCCTACTGTAACCAGCCTCTTTGGGATCGCTCCCACTGATAGGCAAACAAGATAAAGAAGAGCAGTTTCTGAAACAGAGTAGACAGTTAGTATCAAATTCTAACACTGGCCACCTCAAGGAGGTGAGCTACGATCGGTGACTTGCTGCCAGAGTATAATAAAGGAAGGGGGGAAAGTACCTTCACAGCAGAAGAACCTGTAATGTTTTTGCTAAGGTAGCAAAACCTACCTCAGCCAGGTGATAAGGGTTAACATTGTCAGTGATAGGTCGTGTTGCCAGCATGTCCCCTTGATATGAGAGGATGAAAATGGCAGTTTATCTCTGTGGTCTTCCTCTCAAATGCACATTACCCCAGTCTAATCATGGGAAAAACATCAGACAAACCCAAACTGAGGGACATTTTACAAAGTACCTGATCAGTACTCCTCAAAACTGTCAAACATCATCAAAAACTGGGAAAGTCTGAGAAACTGTCACAGCGCAGAGGAACTTAAGGAGATACGACGACTAAACATAATGTTGCATCTTGGATGGGATCCTGAGCTTGAAGATAATTATGTTAAGTGAAATAAGCCAGGCACAGAAAGAGAAATACTGCATGTCCTTACTCATAAGTGCTAGCCAAAAATTAAATAAGTAAATAAGAAAGAAAGAGAGAAAGAAATAAAAAGAGAGAAATAACGATCACAACAATATGTTGTACTTTCAGAAGGAGAGAACAGAACTAGGGTTACTAGAAGTAGGAAAGGGGGAGGGGAAGGGGCAGGGAGGCCAGCGAGAAACTGGTTAATGGACATGAAGAATGATTATGTATTTTAATGATGAATAAGCTAATTATCCTCACTTGACCATCACATGTTGTACACAGCTATTGGTAGTTAACTCTGTAGCCCACAAATATGTATAATCAATTGCTTCAATTTAAAAATTTTCTTTAATTTAAAAAAAAGGAAAGAAAAAGGGAATTAGGAAAAAACTAATGAAATGTAGCAATTTGGTTTCTTAGTTATGACAAATGTACCCTGGCAGTGTAAGAGGTTAACAATAGGAGAATTGGGTGAGGGGATATAGGAACTCTCTGTATTATCTTTGCAAATTTTCTGTGAATCTACAAATATTCTAAAGTTAAAAGTTTTTTAAAATACTTCTTTAAAGAGTCTAACATTCAGTCGTGGTTTTTTCCAGGCACAGGCAACCAGTCGCTATGCAGTGATGACCACCCAGCTGAGGCACAACAATCTCTCTCTGGTTTTCCACTACGTTTTTCTCCAGTTATGTAAGGCCCATGGCATCGGCTATGACCTTGAGGTATGAAGGGTTACAGCTGGCCAGGGCTGTGGGTGATGCAGGTCGCTAATAATTTGGTGCCCCTCCAAACAGATGCTCTTTAAATATTAGTTTGATATGTATTTAGGTGAAGGCTGAGTGCTGTTTGGGGAAGGGCAGAAAGGCAGCTCCATAGACGGTAGCACTTAATCCTGGGAAGATCAGCTCCATCCCCAAACTTGCACACCCACCTTGGTAAAGCAAAAACCTTGCAGCTTGCCAGACTTAGGAGGCATTTTGAGGACCATCTGAAACTTGCCCTGAGCTTCCTGACCCCACCCAAAGCTGCTTATCAATGAACATCCTCTGTTGTAGTCTGCTCAGGCTGCCATAACAAAATAGCACAGACTGGCGGCTTAAACAACAGACTTTTATTTTCTCGCA